GTGAGGCGTCTCTCTCTTTTTTTTTTTTTTTTTCTTTTCCTTTTGCTGCTACTAAAGGCTCATGATTTTTGTGGCTGTTTTGGCTTGGGGTGGTTTGTTTTGGGTTTTTTTAACTGTCTCCATGGCAGGGTGAGTGTTTGCTCCTCCATTAGACTAAAAGTGTCGTTATTTTGTGCAGGTGTTAATGCCAGCCCTCACCACCACCCTGTGGAAGTAAATTAGCTCTAGAACTCGGAGCTCGGAAAAAAGCCTCCGTGATTTGCAAAATGTCATTTATCTCCTTGTTGAGTAAGAAATCCTTGATTCTGAAAGAAGGTGATGCCTGACGCCTTCAAGTAACGTGGACTGAATACATCATTTTCCTGTTTAGATGCCGTGGTGGAAATCTAAGCAAGGGTATGGTCACGATGTTAAAATGTATAACGGTTAATAAAAAAGGCAGCGTGCTCATTGTATTCAGCATGGGAACATCGTAGTATTGCTCTGAACGAATACTGAATAACATACTGCTTGTGAATCTGCGACGGTCAAACCCCAGGTGACGACAGTTAAGTGACTTGAGGCAGGATGAGGATTAGGAATGTTAGAGGGAAGTTATGTGACCACAGTTAATAAATTTCACTGATTCCAAAAATGAGCCTCTAAGGTTAGTGAAAATAATGAGGACACCCAGCAGACAGTTTCTCTGCTGAAATCTGAGCTACATGAGATTTTCACCCTTCTGACCATAAGAATGACAGGCGTTTGAAAAGCCCGGGTGAACATTTAGGTAAAAAACATACTGAAAATCCACATCTGGTCAGCAGTCCAAACACTGCCGTAGGTAACATACGGGTAGTGATACATTAGATTGCTCTATAAAATCTCCAATGGAGTTTGAACATTTACAGCTTCTGGGGACATGAGTTTCAGGTGTACACAGAAGATCATATTTAACGTGAGATGCAACGGAGTGCAGTTTTCAGCATTTTACTGAAGGTTCACAATATTCTGTTGTACACAGCGAGGGAACCATATCTGCAAACTACAGAACTTGTTTTTGAGCAAAGATAGGGTCAGATGTGCCCTGGCCACTTTTTTTGTAGCAGCTGGTCTACTTGTCATCTACTGTCTTGGGGGATCAGTACGGTATATATCTACAAAAACCCTCCACAAAACCCAAGGTATAATTTTCACTGCATTTGCTTCCCCCTCTTCCCCCCCCTTACTCCTTTGCACTGCTATTATTACACCTTTTTGTTTTCTTCTTTTTTGTCACGGAGATTTGGTTGTAAGAGGTAGTTTTGCATTACATAAACATCCAATTCATTTAGTGGGAGAGGTAGGACAGGATACTGTTACCGTTAGAAAACTATTAAGTAACATCATTTTTCCCTACTATAATTTTTGTCAGCTGATTGTGGACTCCAACAGTCTTGTGGAAAAGAAACACCTGTTTTCTGTGCCATCAAAAGCTGTACGGCTCCTTTCGGGTACCTCTTTTATTGACTTGACTTTGGCTGGCAGAATTAGGCTCTGAAACCCTGCGGAGTGGAACGGTGGCTGGTGACAACTACTCATCAGCGCAGATCTGATGGCTAGCAGATTTCCTTGCTCTGAGAGTCCAATCCCGCAATCTATTTATGACTCCAACAGATGTTTCTTCTGGTTTAGGCCTGTGGAAACCTTCTGGTCTCTTCTTTATAACCCAAACTTCACAGCCGTCCCCAATTTACGACCCTTCCTTCTTCCATCTCCTCCTGAGGATAAAGGAAGAAACCCCAAATCTCGGCCGTGCTCCATTAGTAGCATATCAAAACTTCTGCTTCGTACGCTCAGCGCTGTCCTCGCCGAATCAAAGGCATAGCGGCAGTGTTAATCACGTAATGAAAAAAATCTGGTATATTCTTAACTGTCTTGGTTGTAGCAGCACTGGCAGGCATTGCACCTCCCTTAGGTGAACAGGCCCCCCTGCACCCCTTTGCCCAACTCATCCCTGAGGGATAAGACCCAGTGTTACAAAGAGATGCTTATGCGTGTATTTAGTGGGGTCTAGCCAGCAGCAGAAATACATCAAAGGTAATCTTAAAGAAGGAACCTTTCTTTGCGGCTTTGTCTTTTTTATATTCTGAAAGGTCATTTGTGAACCAGCTGTGCCAAAAAAGGCTTTTCCCCAGAAGTTTACTGTTGTTATTTTTTACTTTTTGATTACAGTAACTTGCTTATCCCCCAAACAGACTAAAGAACAATAAACAAATACAAAAGGAAAAGGAACAGCTCATCAATAACAAAGACCTGCGTTTTAAAGCTTTGAGTGTACTGACTCTTACATCTTACTCCAAGAAAAGCAGGAGTCCTGCAGAGAAAGGAATCCAAAAGATATGAAAATTATAAAGATACTAAAAACAATGTTGGGTAGGGATATTTTAACTTGGTGTGGAGAACTGAGCTTTAAAGTGCAGCGTACTGAGGAACAAGCTTTTTTCCCCAGTGCTGTACGTTGTGGAGTGCATAGGGAATTCTGTGTTTCGGTCCCTGCGAAATGCTCTGACCTAGATGAACACAGAAGGTCTAGCTTTCACTTCTAGTTAGAATTTGGAAATTGGGCAGCTCGGAAGTGTTATGTGTGGCTTAAAAAACTAAAAATGGCACCTAAGCATAATCCTTTGAAATCGTATCAAAATAGTCCCTTGCAAGAGGCAACGATACAGTCCGCAAATCTAACTTATTTCTGTGTTCTTCCTTTTTTTTTTTTATTTTTGTATTTTCAAACTCCGAGTACAAAGAAGACACTAACCATGGATACTGAAACTGTGCAATTTGGTGTAATTATATTCCCCCCCATAGATTTAATGAAGGACTTTTAAGTACAATTTATCTTTGATAAATAGTCCCTCTGCACAGAATGTTTATTAGATTGACAGCAGAATACACTCTGCAAGCTTTTTCTCCTTGCCACTTATGACTCAGATGAATTTTAATAGGAGTAAAAAGCTTTTATTTGCACAGTAATTTCACTTAAGGATCATATCCTTCAGAAACTGGCAGACACTTATATGTCTTGATTGCAAAACAGACACTCAGGAGTAAAGAAACATGCATAAGATGTTATTATTTGACTTGTCACACTGCTGCAACTTATGTCATCAAATCTCCTATAGGCATCACCTCCCCTCTCCCTACAGCGTACGTGCAAGCGTGAATACGTGCACGCGCATGCACGCACACGCACGCTTTACTTTCAGAAAGAAAAACCGCAAGGAGCACACCGCACTGAATGTAGTTGCTTGTGCTGGGAGAGAGCTAGCTGTATTTTGGGTTGGAAAAAATGTGAGTGCCACAGCCTTAATTGTCGTGATGATGCCTGCAGGAGGCTTGATGTCAAAGCAGCTTTTTGCATACAAAATGGTGCTGGTTTCCCTCTGCCCCATCAATTGTAACCAAGGCACATGTTTGGGAATGGGTTCCCAAATCTTTGGGTGCCACTTAGAGCTTCTGGGCGTATTGTTGTGGCATTTGATTACATTTACTGGGGTGGTGGTGGAGGATCGGTTCATTTAACCATTTGCTTGTGTTTCTGATTAGAAGCAAGTATTTCTAACGGAACGGCTGCACTGTTCATTGTATGCAATCTTGTGTGCCCAAACGCCATTGATGGAGGATGATAATCCTCTCTTCTGTTGTTTTAGTTTGGCTTTGATAGCTGCTTTTTAAAGATGTCATTGCAGAGTTAATCACCTTTTGCATGTATTTCTGAATACCTTGTTCTACTCTCTACAGAAGCAGAAGGTAGAGTCCCCCTTTACCTTCACCATAAGGATATCGGATTTTTTCTGTCTGTGTAAAAATGAAAAGTAAAGACATTTTATTGCTAATAAAACAATAGCTAATTGTTTTGGAGGAAAACATACTGTTCAAAGCAAGGTGTTGAACTTTACATCAGCAAAATACGCATTTGAATTGTAAATGTGGTTCACCCAATGCTTATTATTAATACCTTTGTTTAAATTATTGATGAAGTGTGGTGCTGGTCTCCACTCAGTTGGCCTTGGTGAGGCGGTGGAGTTTCACGCAGAGACCTGCTGCCATCTACTGGCTTTTTTGCATTCATTTTCAAGTGCACTGGGACAAATGTGAAGGCCATCTGTCTAAGTGCAATGAATTATCTCTCAAAGTGATTACAAGTTTTTTTAAAAAACTGAAAAATCGCTGCACGCACATACACGTTTTCAGAAAGATTTTGTTTAAAGGGATGCTCTCAGGTACTTGAGGTTCATCATGTTCTTTGCCATTTCTAATTGCTATAAAACATACTAGAGAAACCTTTTTTTTTCCCCTCAAGGTAGATAACAGCTGCTGAACAGTTTTTGTTACAGAAAAAAAATATATTCAGGTGATATATTTCCAAAATGTTCTACCTTTCTGCCTCTGCATGGAAAAATGGAAGTGAACTTGTTTAACATGTTCTAATTGCAAAATCTGAACAAGTTATTCACTTCAAACATTAAATACGTGATCAAAAGAAATGTTTAAAAAGTAAACACTCAGTTTTACTGTATGTAATGTAAGTAAACATTAAAGTTTCAAATCAGTCATGTCATTGGAAATCCGGCAGACTTTCCCAAAAGGTTAATTTCCAATTCAGTACAGCACTGGAAACGAATCCCTCAATATTCTGTATCCACTAAAGATAATGTGCAGTGAGCATAAGAATATTGCTCTTTTTAAAATTTGTATCTCCCCTCTCTACCCTCTATTTTTGAAATGAATCTGACATTTCTTTACTGTACTCGATTATTTCCTTTTATGTGGTCGTTGCTGCAAATTGGGGTTGCGTATTTTTCTTTCTATATCCTGAAAATGAAACTCTGAATAAGGATTTCAAACAGTATTTTTTGGACACTCCTGGAAGAATAGATAACAGATGTATTATACAAAAACATGCCATAAAATAGTGCAGATTATTGACTGGAATTCACCAAGGTTTAGTTTTCTAAAACATTCCTCTTCCTATTCTTTAGTACAAATTACAAATACTGACGAAGGTTGCTGCAGAGCTGAGCAAGTACATGCCAGAGAAAGCAGCAGAGGACACCTCCAGCATTTTGAGATCTCCCATGCCTGGAGCAGTGGTGGCAGTTTCTGTCAAGCCTGGGGACATGGTAAGAAATGTGATCTATATATCTGCATTTTCATTATATATTCCACACAAATTTCTCCTTGATGCAACTGAAACCACAGGTCACAGTTGCTTTTTTTTTAACCTCACCTGTAGAATAAAGTGTGCTGAAGGATGTGTGCTGCTTTTCATTTAAATTATAAAAACTAATAAGGAAGCACAATTCAAATTAAACTGGCTTTAAAAGGAACATTCTTAGCTGGGTGCAAGTCCACAGCTGAAACTCAATGAAAAGCTTGGTTTTTTTGGTCACAAATGCCTTGGCGGGGGTGGGGGGGGAAGTATTTGTGTGTGAATATGTGCATGTAAATATATGTAAGTATATTTATGCTATTAGTTCAAGCAGGAGAGAATTGTTGATTTTTCTGCCCTAAAGCGATGAAAATATTACTAAGCATAAGGGGGACAGGATAGTTACCTAACTGTCTTGTGTGTCCTGTCTGTGTCTGTTCCGTCCCCGTCCCCTGTTTTTTTTAACAATCCCCATGTTAGCGTTTTGCATGACATAAGACTTTCCTGAATTGGGAATTCCATGCTGGGAATTCCCAGTCTCTTATGGGAATCCTCTTGTCCTGCAGACGGAATAAACTTGACACACAAAAGGGCAACAGAATGTGCCATTGCTGTCCTGGGGATTTCCAGTGCTGCTTACCTCACATTGAGCTGGAAATGAATGTAACTTAACATATAAATACTCACTTGAACTCAGCTTTATATGAAACTCTACCACGTTGTATCGTACGTTATTTCTAAGGTCAGGGCCCTTATCTCTCATAACCACTTAAAGTGATAGAATGATGCAGTCCAGGAATATTTGAATCAGAATGTGCAGATTAATTTTAAAGTACTCTTGTCAGTTAAATGATGCCATAAACATGTATGTGGCACATAGATACAAACAGAAAGCTTTAGTCGCAGAGTTCAGTGAAACCTCGATTTTCTCGAGAGATGATGTAGAAGTGGGATTGAGATCTCAAGTCCAAAATTAGCACTGCGCTTACTATGTGACGATCATCAGTCGTGCTGGTAAAGAGATTTGTTTGCTTACATTTTGCTATGATGCCATTTTTGGTTTTAGAATATATGGATATTTCTAACTATTTACAGAGAGAAGGGAGTCATCGTGTTAATATGAAAGATCTGTAGGTGCAAATGTTTATATTAATGAGATAAAGATATTTCTGAGAAAACAGAACTAAGTACAGCTGAGGAAAAATTAGCAAGAGAGAAATTCTTTTAGCTTCTACACTTAGCTTTCTGGTTTTGTGATCTATACATGCACACACACTGTTTATACCTTTAAAACCAGCAGTATTCAATTAAAATTAATCACTACGTCATCGCATGGATAGAGAAATCTCTGATTTCTGTGTCTGGGCAGAAAGAGTGGTTGAATGAGGGAGCTCTTAAGCAAATACTTTTTTTGCAAAGAATGAAAGGAAATGTTTTTTAAGGCAAGGATTTTAAGCCTTTTTTAATTTGTTTAAAATTTTTTTGAGAAGTGAATTCTGCTAAATGTTATCAGCCTTCTGGTCTTGAAGAATAGTTCTTGTTGTCTTGAAGGAATAGAACCAGTGGAGAATGAGGCAAGAGCCAAAGAGATTTTAAGTAAATAAATAAATGAACCTCCTTCCACAAATCCACAAGTGGTGCAGTGCATCAGAGCACAAGTTGTTAAATAATGTGTGGAGATTTTATTTTTCTTTCTCCTTTCCTGCAGCTTTTTGCTGGAGGCACTGAGTGGCAGAACATTTGAACGGCGTAATCTATGTTCTGCTGACCTGAGCTTGTCAATGCTAATTGTGTGGCTTTAATTGCAAAAACACATTTGCGTTATTGAAAAGGGTTTAACTTAAATCCTTCCTTTTCAGGACTAGTGTCAAAACGTTAAAAAAAAAAAAAAAAAAAGCGAGTGAGATGAGGGTAGCATCAGCTATCGGCACTGAATAAGCAGTGGGATGGTGTGATTCAGATTACACGTCTTGGCTGTCCGTCACAAACCAGCTCACCCACTACAGCTGTTCAAGGCATGATGGGCAGGGAACTGTAGCTCCCTGATAAATACAGCTCTTTTTGTTGCGCTGCTTGGGAAAAGTCTGATTTCTTTAGCTTGCTGGAGAAATGGGAATTTAAGTAGCTCCTATTCTCTAGAGCGAACGCTGGGTTTGGCAGCTCGGATTTGCAACGGCGTGTGAAAACAGCACAGCTGAAAAAATGGGAGAGCGCGAGGCAGTTGTCTGTCCTTCCACTCAGGTGTTGCTGCTGGTTACTAGCTGCTCTGAGATTGTTTTCTCCTAACCTGTGGTCCGTGGTAAACAGCATTAGTGCAGCACAGTCCCTGCAACAGCGCTGCGCTCACAGAGATGCCCTCAGAGCAATCAGTAGCACGGCGAGCTGGGCTGCGGTACCCCTCCTTCAGGTGTAACTTTACAAATGGTGAAGAAACTCCTAGAGAGGAACATCTAGTCTTTGTCTGGTGGCGCTTGCAAACTGGTGTTTATTGTCAGCTATAGGGCATCACGCCTGGTCAGGTAAAGCATAGTGTGTTTGTTAGTCCCTCTCTGCGTAAGATGCCAAACGAGAAGGCAACGCCGATCTCCGTGTTTTCCCCACTCGATGTATCATTGTTTTTCCTTGAAGCACGGTGTTCTCATTTGGCTGCTGTTGCTGAAAAATACTTTGGTCTGACGAAGGCTTATAGAAGATAGTGTGAGCATCCTCTATCCAGCTGGTCAGATAAGCAGTTTTCAAACTTAATTTTTGCCAAAAGATAGTGCATATGCAAGGAATTTATTTTCTTTTGTCTGTAAGATGATCTATAGATCTTAGTAACACAGTGGGGAAGTGCTGTTTGTCATTTAGGGAGAAGCAGAACTTGTGATGCTGCCAATTTTTTTGGCTTTTTAGTTACTTTCTACGTTCTTTATTTTCCTTCATGTGATCAGAAGACTGTAATTAGTTGTCACTCAATTGTTCCTGAAAACACAATGAAGGCACTCAAGCAGAAAGCAACGTAAACAACAAAACAATTTGAAATCTGGCTGAATGGAAAGGTTAATATTATTTAGGGAAAGTAAATTTAACTTACATTCCTCATGATAACACAGTCACGGTATATAGGAAACATCCATTTGGAGAGGGACGGTGTTTGCACGTTTATTTTGTAAAAGTAGATCGTTAATGCCAAGTGTGCATCGGGATGTAATTCGGTATGGGGAGAGTTACTTTTTGGTTCCTTGTGGTGCCAAGGGCAAGAGAAACCACTGGGCTTCAAGAGTCCAGGCAAGGGACTCACTCTCTCTCTGCCGACGCCGATGGCAGCGCAAGCCAACCCTGCCAGCACACGACGGCGTTTTCATGCCAGAGTGTGGAGACGGCACTGCACGTGGTTTTAATCTCCCCACTGCTACCACAAATACAGCACCATGAAAACTACTGAAGCTGCACAAATTCACTGCTTTGCTTAAGAGGCAAGGAAGTAGGCAGGCACTTGCAAATACTGCTTCTTCGTCTCGAGTTGCTGGCTTGATTTTTGTGCATGTAGGATTCTGTGCACTGAAACTGCAGGAGCAGGGAAAGGCCAAGATCTTAATGGTTGAACAGGTAAAGCAATGTTGTCGTACCCTGTTTAAAGCAAGCCACCCAAGGTGCTCCCACAACTGCTTCCAAATTTGATAGTCTTAACTGAGCACAGCAACAAAAGAAGATCTTAACTGTCCTGATTGCCTTGTAGCCTTTGCTGTGTTTTCACTGGTGAATACAGTTTTTGCTTTTCCAGTTTTTTGTGTCTCAGAAATGCAAAGGGGTTTTTTTTTCTTTTAGCTGTATGTTTATGTTGTTTTTCTTTTTTAATTAAATTAGGCAGAACAGGTGGCATTACTAAGCCCAGCATTGGTCAATAAGTTAACACCAGTGCTGATAGCCGAAATCATTTTAATGATTCCCCTGTCCGTAAATATGTAGAAGAAAAGCACCTCTGGGTAAACACCCCAGCAGTACTCCATCTTTGTAGGACTACGGCCAAGAGAAGAGACAGTCAATTATTATGACTTAAGTGTCTAAATTTCCTCTATCCAGTAATTCAAGATTACCCCAGGTTTTGGAAGTTATCACCATTCAAACCACTCTTTAAATCGACTTTTCTCATTTCTTATGATTTCACATTGGTGCTACTGTAGCCACGGGTATTGATACTGCACGGGATGATTTTTTTTCTACCACGATGTAAGCTATTAAATGTATATGCTAATTCAGTAATTTTGAAACTGGGTATCTTGAAGGCTGCTTTTTTAGTTGTATAACTTATAAAACACACTCCTGTCAGTGATCCCACGTTTTAAAAACAACCGAGGAAGAAGCTTTAAGCTGCATTCCAGTTGTTCTCTTCCAGTTCATTTGCATGCACATAATTTCAATTTACCTTCCTGTTCTTTAGAAAAGTAGTTTAAAAAAAAAAATCTTTCTCCACAATTTTCCATTTCACAAGCCTAGGAAGGTTCTTGCTATGGGAAAAGATATGTTTTTCTTGACCTCTACTGCTGAAACGCTCACTACTGAAAACCAAACCAAAACAGCTTCCCAAATTCTGTTTCTTACTACATCGTCCATTCTTGTGAAAGAAAAGGTGGAATTGTAAAGTTACCTGTTGCCATCAGCCAGTTATGTGTTGTTTTAAATCTTGCCTGCCCTTCAGACCTCAAAATCTTAAAAAAAAAAAAAAAAAATTTCTCTTTCTGATCTTATAATTGTACTGGTTGGAATTCATAACAGAGAAATAACAACCAGGAAAAACAGTAAAAATGGATTTGCTTAGGTAACAATTTCAGGTTTTATTTAGATTAATATGGTATCAATAATTTAATAAGATATTCTTAAATTCAAATAAGATTTTTCTCTTGTGTGTGAACCCTTTTTTTTCCTTGTTGTTTTTCCTTTTCCCTTTACCTCCTTTCCTCCTTCCTGTTCTTCAGCAATCCCAGTGCA